CCCCCGCCTGCCTCTGCCTCCGCTGCGCTTTCCCGCTCGGCTCGGCTCCAGCAGCACCGCGATAGCCTGGCTCACTGTGGCGACCTCCGCTCCGGGGGCTACTTCGATCAATTTATGCCACTGGGGCATGCGGGGAGTTGCTATCTAATGGCCGATCAATACCTGCATAGGCGCTGGTTATGATCAATAAGGCTTTGCATGGCTGAGGTCGCCTTCACTGAGGGCCTGTCCCTCCCCTCACACACTGCTGGGCAGCAGGTGCTGGCTGAGGCATCAGAGCAAGGGGCCCGGGCACGATTTATTTCTGACTTCGCAAGGACTGACCGAGCGCTCCGAGGCCAGCGTGCCAGCTGGGCGCACCACTGAGGCCAAACCGAAGGGTCCCACCGACTGCCCAGCCCCTGGAGCTGGGGGAGCATGGGACTCCTGCCTTGCTTTACTTCCGTGTCTGGTCCTCGTGCCTGCAGGGACACGTGGCCCAGCCGCAGCTGGACTGGGTCTTTGGGAGTCTGGCCCAAGTTGCTTCTGCTTTCAAGCTCGTGACCGCTGAGGGCCTGACTTGTGATTGCCGAGGGCTGGAGTCGGGAACCCACGCTGCAGCTCGAGGCGCGAGCTCTCGGGTCTGGCTGCATGAAGCTCAGTGTGGGCCATGCGCCTGGCCTGGCCGGGCGAGGCCTCCTCTGTGTGACACGGGGCAGGGCCCAGGCCCTTTTACCTGCTTGGAGGGAGACGCCAGGTGCTGCTCTCTCTCTTCCCGCTGCAGGTGGATTTGCTGCTCCATGTGCTGGGCGTAGCGAGCCAGGCAGTGAGAGTGGAAGTGGTCTGGCTGCATGAAGCTCAGTGTGGGCCATGCGCCTGGCCTGGCCGGGCGAGGCCTCCTCTGTGTGACACGGGGCAGGGCCCAGGCCCTTTTACCTGCTTGGAGGGAGACGCCAGGTGCTGCTCTCTCTCTTCCCGCTGCAGGTGGATTTGCTGCTCCATGTGCTGGGCGTAGCGAGCCAGGCAGTGAGAGTGGAAGTAGTGGTCCCCGCGTGCGCCCCCGGGACGCTCCCCCCTCAGCTAGCTCCGATTCAGATGCACCTGCTCCCAGCGCCCCTCTCCCCTCCATCCCCACAAGCTCTGGGCTAAGGCTGCCAGTCCCTCCACCAATGCACCCCATTCCTCTCCTGAGTCGGCAGCAGGGCCACGCACTAATCCCAGGGTTCCTACCTGGAAGCCGTAGAGACAGATCACGCACTGGCCATGAGGAATGTTGTTGTCAGTGAGAATTTCCTTCCCTTTCTGGAGAAAGAGGGAGAATGAACACCCCACTCACCCAAAGCCCCAGGCGGGCCTAGACTCTGGCCTGGCCAACCCACACACAGACCAGGAGAGCATGTGTCAATATCAGTGTGTATCACCACAGGGTGGGGAACTTAAGGCTCAGGGGCCGGCTGTGGCCCCCAGCTTGCTTGGATCTGGCCCCTGAGATCCTGCATTGGGAAGCCCATGCTGGCACTCCAGCCCCTTCCCCAATGGAGCTGGAGCACACAAAATCTATTAGGCTGGGCTCCCCTAAGCTCTGGTGGGGGAGGGGAATGTGTGGAGAGTCTTTCTCCCTCTCAGTCAGGGGCCACGTCAGTGCCGATTTGGGTTTTTGGTTCCCCCCCTCCCCCCATCTTACTTGTGAGCGGCCCCCAACTGATTTTTCTGTGGCTCAGCAGCCTCCAACCCAAAAACGGTTCTCTACCCTGACCCAGCACCAGGCCCGCCCCACCCCAGGCGTCCCCTCCTCTCACCTCAATCAGTTCATACAGCACCGCTGTCCCCACCCCAGCCTCTGCAACTTGTCCCAGCGTCTGAGAAATCCTAGAATGAAGAGGCAGAAAGTCGTGGCTGCGGAGGGAACATCCTAACCCCTCTAGAGCTGCAGTACTAAGCTGGGACCAGCAGCTTCAATACAGTGGGTGAGGAAGGCACTGGATTGGTCAATAGCGCGCCAAGCTGGGTATGGAAATCGTTGTGCTCAGATGTGGTTAACATATGCAGACCCGTCAGCCTCCCATGTACCCGTCCACCTGGCAGGGGGGCGGAAGAGGAGTCCCACTGTAACAGGTTTGAGCACTAGATATCTGGCTCAAGCCCTCGAGTCTTTGGTGCACAAAAGCCCTTCTCTAAGATTCTCTACTCAGTACAGCCTGCTTGTCATGCACCTAACCCCGCCAGCCCTTCAGTTCCAGCCACTCTGTCACTGGTGACAAACTGAAGCCAGGCCAAACAGCAGGCCTGCAAAAGTCTGTCCAGATCTCATCACACCGCCCACAATTCTCTGGGACTTGGGAGGAAGGACACAGGAGCTGCCCGACTGGGGGAGGGAGCAGTTGCTTCAGAAGAAGGTGCAAGAGATTCCCCCAGTGGCAATGATGGAATAACCTGTCCAGGGAGAATTTTCTTCCCAACCTCAGGCATCTAGTGGCTGGCTGTGCACTGAAGCAGCATGGTTCAATGGCCTTGATTTATTTTCCGTCCAGGCCGATGTAGCTCTGGATGACAGAGCAATTCCATGTAACTGAGGGCAAATGGGGGATTCATGTTTCCCACCCCCAGCTGGAATACAGGATGTTTTTTTCCCCTCCTGTGTCTGGAGGGTAGGAGAAAACCCTTCTCACTCACTTCTGGATCTGCTCATCAGACAGCCCCCGAGGATTCCGGATGGAGATTTTCGGCACTTCATTTGGATACTAGAAAAACAAATCCAGGGATGAATGGGACTCAAAGTCCTGACCAGTCTCTTCCTGCAAAGCTTGGCTGCCCTCCTGGGGGTCAGGTACTATGACCTTACCTGTGGGGACATGGACAGCACAAGTGTGAAGCAGACATACTGAGAGTCCTGATCCTCCGCTGTTGCAGGGTGCAGGGTAATGCAGATTTCCCAGGGTGCTGACCTGCAAGGGCAGGGAGGCTGAGGTGAAGCATCCAGCTACCACATGTGGAGTATTAACGAAGTACAGATGGTGCAGTGAGGGCGACACGGACGCGTATTGTCACAGCTGCACAAACCTTCCATGCAAGCTCCATGGCGCTAAAAAGGGGCTGAGGTGCAAGGAGTGAAGCAGAGAGAAGACCCCTAGACTGAGTGTGCCTGTCCTGCCCCAGTAGAGGCTACGGTGCACTGACAGCTTCGAGGAAAAGGATCTGGCAGGATGGAGGGCAGAGATCAGCAAGAACTCAGGTACCAGCCCGAGAGCTGAGCATGCTGGTGCTCCGGTGTAGGGCAAAGGACAGCAAGACTCTCTCAGTGAGCACTCAGTCCAGACATGCCAATTTGAGCTCCATTCTCAGCTCGCCAGAGCTTTGCATCCAAGTGCAGAATGCAAAAGTGGATACCCCCCAACATCTATGTACACTCCAAGGATGGCTCCCAGCACCGCAGCTGAGATACGTGTACACCAAAGGGGTGAAATACCTCCCCTCTGAATTAGTGACACCCGGTAAGAGCACAAATACCTGCCCTTTCCTCGAGACACCTGCAGCTCATCCAGGTATATGGCCTCTAAAACCTCCACTTCGGACGGCAGAGCCCTGAGGAAAGAGAAGGGACGTCACACAGCTGCTCTCCCGCCTCCTCCCCCTCCCCCTCCCCGAGCAGCCCCCCAGCCGGCCTAGCGCCTTGTGCGGCCAAAGGCTCTGCTCCACTCCCCGCTACGGACAGGAGAAG